GGGAAAGGGGAGAAGAGGGGGAGGGGGAGGGGAGGGGAGGAGGACAGGGGAGAGGAAGAGGAAGAGGAAGAAGAAAACAGCTTGAGCAGCTATTGAGGGCTGCTCAAGTCTTGGGTAAAATGGTGTGTATTTGTATATAACTTACACACATCCTCCCATGTACTGAATCTCTATAGAGTACTTATAACAATACCGTATAACCTATGTATATAGTTGTTACATTTTTTTAGGGAATAATGACAAGGAAAAGTCTGCACGTGTTCAACACTGATGCAATTTTTTCATCCAGTAATTTCTTAACATGTGCCCCAAGTGGGGCTGGCACAGCATGCAGTACCAGGGATCGAAACTGGTCCTTATACTTATCAGGCAGGTGCTTAGACCGCTGAGCTACCTCTGTGGCCCCCATCCAGTAATTTCTACCCTACTACAATGTGATTTTAAAGCTCTCTGGTAAGAATAAACGACAATAATAAAAACAACCAGCTAGGTGTGGTGACACACGCCTATAACTCCAGCCATCAAGAAGCCAAGGCAGGAAAAGCACAAGCTTCTGGCCAGTCAAGTCTGCAAAGTAAGGTTGTGGCCAGCTTGAGCTACAGAGAGAAACCCTATCTCAAAAAAGGAGAAGAAAAAAAGAAAATATCTAAGAATGGTTATTCAAATTATGAATCTTTAAAAGTATAGTATTTTGAGCTAATGAAAAAAGACTCATTAGATAATTTTAAAGAAATATGCAAGTTGGTAATGTGAGGGCTGGGGATACAGCTTAGTGGCACAAATGCCTGCCTGGCAAGTGCAAGGTCCTGAGTTCAATTCCCAGTACCAAAAAAAGAAAAAAGAAAAAAAGTCGATAACATGGTTATTTAAGATTAAAATTAACATTTCTGACAAGGTAATTCAAGGCCCATAAAAATTTTCATGGACATTTACTCCTCATGAGAATATATAATCACAAAATAAATAAAACCACTTTCTTTTATGTCACCTAAACTGTTGTATTCAAAGCTGGCTTAATGTCCACAAGGTAGCAAAAAACATAAAGTTTAGGAAAGGAACATCTATCTCATGAACTCAATAAACAAAATTACCCTAGCATTTTAAGCAAAATGTTTAAATCTAAAAGCCATAAAGGAGCAATGTAAAGCTTCTGTATGACAATACACAGAAGAAAACAAACAGGATGATGGTTCCTAGGACAGTAAGCAGACCATGAATCAATTTTATAAATATATAATATAATTTCATTGGAAAGAGTAGGGGAAAAATGATTTGACTTAAGTAAAGTTAGGAAACAATGTTTTGGCTGGAAATTCTCTGGCTAAAGAAAAACTAAACTGTCTAATTTATCTGCCTGCCATAATTTCACAAATGACAAAATATCAGCTCATTACAAATGTTCTGTTTTTCTTACCTGCAAGTGACAGTATTTATGTAAAGTCAGATAATGTATTTTTTTCCAGATAATGTATTTTTCCCAATAATGAAAATGAATTTCTGCTTTGCTCATCTAAAGATCCTATTATCAAAGAAAAAATATTTGTAAGCTAGTTGGTTAAGAACCCAAAACAGCCTATAACAGTGGTGGCAAATCTATGGCATGTGTACCACAGTAGGCTGTTTGTACTGTTGAAAGCTCTAAAAGGTTTGCCATCACTGGTCTAAAGTCTCCTAGCAATAATCCATACAAAGAAGATTAAGGTATTCAACAACATAATACCACAGGGGGGCCTGCCTGTTAGCTCAGTTGTTTAAGCGTCTGCTTATGCAAATGCAGTCAGGTGCAGGATCCCAGGTTCAGCCCCCAGCTCCACATGCCTTACCAGATCGCCCCTTAAGGCAGCTTGAGCCAGCCAAAAGAAAAAAAAAATCCTTCTCAAGAATAAAATACCACAGACTTTCATTTTATTTCTTTGCCTTAAATGAATAAAACCACTGTTGTATATTTAGTCTGTCATTTTCTGAAACATTGTTGTGAGGTGCATGACTGTATTTTAAAAATTTGCTCCTGTAATCCCAGCTTTCAGGAGATAGGGTTTTACTATGCAGTTCAGGCTGGCCTTGAGTTCACTTTTTAGCCCAGGCCTGTCTTGAACTTGCAATGATCTTCCTGCCTCAGCCTCCCGAGGGCTGGGATTACAGGTGTGTGCCATGACATTCAGCCCATTGCCTTAATTTTATTTGATTTATAAACTAACAAATTTAGTTAACTCCCTGAAGCATCATTCATTCATTCATTCATTCATTCATGCATGCATGCATGAAACAGGGTTTTGCTCTACAGTTATGGCAGGCCTTAAACTCACTTTGTAGCCCAGGCTGTCTCAAACTTAAAAGTGATCCTCTTACCTGTGTTTCCTGAAAGCTGGGATTACAGAACAAATTTTAAAAATACAGTCATGTATCTCACAATGTTTCAGAAAATGACAGACTAAATATACAACAGTGGTTTTATTCATTTATTTCATT